CAACGAAATTGCAAATTTCGTTCGGTTTGTTGATTTCATGAATTATCATTGCAACAATAATATTTATCCTAATACAATAAAATATTTTCTATCATATTATATCAATAATAATATTGATTTTGTGGATTATCATTGCAGAAATTATTGTTTCTATTATTGCTATGGTTGTGTTGATTACTATTATTATGTACTATGGCTTGCATACAGCTTTCCCTCCATTGTTTGGTGTTCACAGAGCAGCTGGGATTTTAAAGCTGTTATGCTTCTTCATTTTTATCATGCATGCAGTTGCAGGCATTCTTTCCTTTAAGTCTTCATATCCAGCAGCCCCAGAGCGTCTTCTTGCTCGGTTGTTCGTTTGTATGCTTCCACAGTCTATGCATTTCCACATACACCACACACACACACACACAGACACATTTTGTGCATTTATCTTCGTATAAAAGGAGGTCTACTTGTTCATCATGGCTCGTACAGTGTTCTATTTCGATTTAATACTTCACGAGACTGCACCAACAAACTCACCAGCGTCTCATCCAGCTTAGAGCTCCACAGAACATCTCCAGGGGCGGCATCTTTCAGTCTATTCGTCAGTTCTTCTTCATTTAGTGCTGCTCCTGGTGCTTTTGCTGCTGCTGCTGCTGCTGCTGCAAGGGCTTTAGCAGCATCGCCATCCACATGGGTAGAGGCATCGACTTGCAATGGAGTTGCGGAGAGTTTGTCTTTTTCGTCTTTTTCTTTTCTTAGCGCCACAAAGGACATATCTGCTGGGTCGTTTATAATGAGCTTGAAAGGCATTACAGCAGGATCGCCCTCTTGCATGCGCCGTAGCTGCTCACAAACAAAACTCATTCTCTTCTTCGATGCCTCTGCTGCTGAGTCTCCACTTGCAAAAGGCACGCTTTCGGAGAGGCCATCTGCAAGCGACTTCAGCAGTCCTTCAACAGTCGTTAGAGTCCCTGAATGAAGACAAAAAGAAACCCCGCAGCAGCAGCAGTAGTAGTAACAGCAGCAGCATCAGATGCTGCTCTCCGTACGTGGTAGCCGCCGCTCTGCACGCAAGCCGCTCTCCTAGTGTGCTGGCTTCTTCGCTTTCTTGTTAAAAATTCCCTCAAGCAAGAACAGCGAAGAAGGAGAGCGCGAAGGAGAGAGAGAGGGAGATATTGAGAGAGCAAGAAAGAGAGAGATAGAAGGCAAGACAGGCACACAGTGACAGACAGAAAAAGAGAGACACACACACAGAGACAGAGAGGAAAAGACAGAGACAGAGACAGAGACAAAGAGAAAAAGAAAGAGACATACACAGAGAGACAAAGAGAAAAGGAGAGAGACAGAGACAGAGACAGAAAGAAAGAGAGGAGGACGCTTCCCCCTTTGCATTCCACCATACCGGCAGCTGTTCCACCAAATTAACATAATTGTCTCAATTAAATAAAGACATTTATGAAAAAAAAACAAAAGCGAAAGAGACAGGGAGCAGAAACTCTCTAAAGCTCACCTGCCTCCGCTCCGCCCTCCATTGAGAAGTCCAGCGAGGGTATCTCTACACTTGCAGTGTCTCCTTTTAAAACATCTCTATTCAGGTCCTCGTTGCTTGCTACCTAAGTCAACAGACAGCAGCAACAGCAGCAACAACAACAGCAGCACCAGCAACAATAGCACCGGTAGCGACAACAACAACAGCAGCAACAACAACAGCAGCAGCAACAGCAGCAGCACCAGGCTGATTGATGAAGGAATGGGAGCTTGGCCTTTGCACACATCGCCATACAGCGCAGCACCCGAGGGAAGCAGCTACTGCAGCAGCAACGAACAGCATTAACGTGCATGCATGCAGTCTTGCTGAGCTCTCTAGCCCCGCAAACATTTAGCAGCAGCACCCAAAGAAAACCGGAAAGGGATACACAGCCGATCCCAACCCGCAGTAACACAACCCCACCACCACAGCAAGAAGCAGCGAGATATGCATGCAGCAGCGCATGCGTACATTGCATGCGCCTCGCCTACGAGATTAGCTCAAGAGTTCAACATAGCTACAGAGAATAAATAAACAATAAATGGATATATTCATATTCATTTTCAGGGCCTCCATAATAACAAACCCTCACCTCAATAATCCATCGACGCCCCGCCTCTCCATACGCCCCTGCTGCTTTTATCTCAGAGTTCTTCGCTCCGCAGCGGGGACAGCTAAATGCAAATATCAAACACTCGCGGAAACCTGCAAACACAAACACATGCACAAACTACCAGGCAAGCCCCGCTGCATTCATGCATTCATGCATGCATGGATGCATGCATGCATGCATGCTGGAGGTGGTAGGTACAGAGATTTGGTGGGCTTAGATGATGGTACCTGGAATATGGAGTTGACAAACTTTGTTGGTGGTATGGGCTCCGCAGTGCGGACATTCTACTGGCAGCAGTAGCGCCTCTTCTTTTAAAGCCGCCTCCGCATCTGCTGCATCTGCTGCTGCATCTGCTGCTGCATCTGCTGCTGCATCTGCAGCTGCATCTGCTGCATCTGCTGCTCCTCCGGAGGGAGCCTCCGCTGCTGAACGCAAAGGGCCCTCAGCACAGCAACCACCCCATTGTCATCGAGGGATAGAAAAAGAGCAGCAAAAGCAGCACTAACAAACTACAGAATAAAAAGAAGAAAGTTTTCCGGCCTTCTTCCTGCTATATATATATATATATATATATTTATGCATATATATGCATATATATATCGTAGTGTAGGGCTTGAAATGGAGAGGTAGCGAAGCAGCAGCAGGTGCTGCTACAGCAGCAGGCACATCAAGTGCAGCAGTGGCAGATGCAGCAGCAGGCGCAGCAGCAGCAAGTGCAGCAGCAGCAAGTACAGCAGCAGCAAGTGCAGCAGCAGCAGGTGCAGCAGCAGCAGGTGCAGCAGCAGCAAGCGATGATACCTGTTTGGGATATATCATTTTCTTCCTGTGTCTCGAAGTATCCCATTGCATGCAGCTGTTCTTTGCTTCGTTCAAAGTGTTTGATGGTGAGTGCTGTGTCTGTCTCTCTCTGCGTTTGCTGCTGCTCTCCTTTTTCTTGCTCTGAAGAAGACGAGGCGTCTGCCTTTTCTTCTTCTGTCTGCCGTATGCTGGTGCTTGCATCCGAGCTGCTGCTGCTGCTGCTGCTGCTGTTGCTGTTGCTGCTGCTAGTGGGGGCGGTGGTGTTGGCGTTGGTGGTGGGGTTGTTGTTGTTGGTGTCTATGCTGGTCTCCTCGTCTAATCTTTTAGAGCTGCTGCATTCTTTATGTTTGTCTGCAGCAAACTGAATGCTCTCTATATAGCTATTACCGCTGGGATCATACAGAGATAAAACAAAGGGGCGTCTTCCTTCTTGCATTTCTCTTAGTTTCTGAACAATAGCCAAAAGACGTTGTGCCTTCTCTTGCTCGTTTATTTGAGCTTGGTAAACAGCAGCACATTTTAAATTGTCTGCAAATGACCCCACAAACCCCTCAATTGTATTCAACTCCGCACGATCCCGGGAGGCGGGGATCTCCAACTCCAGCTCTGGGATCGATATCGTGCAGTGTTCACTCCGTACTACTTGCCGATTTAAATCTAAAGGAGAAGAAACTCTGCATTCTATTTGTACACCGCGAGGGGCTAAGCTCCCAGCAGCCTGCACCTGCAGAAGAAATCAGAAAAACAAACAACAAACATTCTACGTAAAAAACATATTCCTTCATGTATACATACATATATATATATATATATCTACAGTTGAGAAACGCATGCATTGTATAGAAGAGGAGCCGATATTATTTAAACAGATGAATATATACCCCTGTGGGGTTTATCCTTTGTGTTATAAAAAGGAGAGAAAAGACAGCAAGCACTGCTGACAGTGCATTCATGAGAGAAGCAATTAAATGAGAGATTCTATTGCAAGAAGAGAGACACCAAGACCCAATTGTGCATTATTTGTTTGTTTGCAATAATTTTCTTTCTTCACCTCTCTATTAGAGTAATTACAGTGCGGACAGCTGAATGAAGATATCAATAAATCTTTGAAGTGGGGAACGCGGTGAAGCAGCAACAAAGTCTCTCCGTTCTCTTCACAATTAGGACACATAGAAGTAACTCTATTTACAGAATCCAATAAAGGATCAGCAGTAGCTTCATCATTTCCTCTTTCAAGAGGGCCCCCAGCAGGGGGGGCCCCTCCCTCCTCTTCCTGATGCATCTTAGAGGAAACGAGACGAAACTAAAGATGCACAGTACATTAAAAATAAGAAAGAAAGACACTTAAGAGCAGATAAAATCATAATTAATGCTCTATGCAATGTATGATACAACGCTTCCGTTGGGGGCCCCCGGGGCCCCACAGCAACGTTTAGTATTTTCTTTGCTGTGATGCTTCCAGCAATAAAGGAAGCAAAGAAGAAGATCTATAGTCTTTGAAGAGCTTAAAATGATATTGTTTTACTCTTAATGGTATATTAATTATATTACCGGTACATTATTGTCGTAGACATAGGGCCTGAACCCTTTCTCAAGATGTGTGCATAACCACACATTGTCTGCATTGCAGTACGAAGTTAAGCAGATTAAACTAAAGAAAATACAAAAAAGTGAATATAATGAACATATTAAAATGCCCATTCTTGTTCTTTTCTTGCTTTTGTTCGTTTTTCCCTAAGAGTCCACAACCTCGACGCAGACTCCTAAACGGCAGCTTTCCCTTCTTGCTTTGAACACACCCAACTTGCATATA